GGGTGACAGGGGCTGGGGTGGGTATCGGCGTGCCCGAGGCGCTGGAGGGGGAGCATGGGGGTGCCCAGGGTGCTGAGGTCTGGAGGTGAGGGCACGAGGGTGGCACGGATGTTGGGGATTGGAGATGGGGATACGGGAGGGACAGGGGTGCTGGAGACCTGAAGGTTGGCGTTATGGGGGTGGTCCGGAGTGCTGGGGACTGGAGATGGAGATGTGGGGGTGCCCAGAAGTGCTCGGTAGTGGAGGTGAGCATATTGGGGTAGCCAGGATGCCAGATACCTGGAGGTTGGTATTATTGGGGTGCCCAGGATGCTGGGGTCTGGGAGTATGGGGTGACAGGGGTACTGGCAATTTGAAGGTAGGGGTATGGAGTACTTGGGCTGCTGGGAACCAGGAGAGAAGGGGTATGAGGCTGCTCAGATGGTGATGAGGGACTGGAGGCAGGAGTATTGGGGTGCCCAGAGTGCTGCAGTTCTGGACACCTGGAGGAGAACGTATCAGGATGTCTTGGGGTGTTGGGAAGTACAGGGATGTATTGTTGGGATGTCCAGGATGCTGGGAACTGAAAGGGGGGTGTTGGAGTGCTCAAGATGCTGGGGACCTGGACATGGGGATTATGGGGTGCATTGGATACTAAAGAGATGGAAGATGGAAGTATTGAGATCTCCAAAGTATTAGGAACTAGAGATGGGGATACAGAGGGTGGTCTAGGTCCTGGGATAGGGACTGGGAGGTGGAGTATCAGGAATGCCCAGGTTGCCAGGACCTGATGTCCTGGCAGTGCTGGTGTCAGTTTTGCCAGGGGACCTGGTATTCAGGAGCATCCCATCCCTCACCCCACATTGCTCAGCATCTCCTCCATCCCACAGCGCCTGATGCCTGTCCCCCACCTGACAACACCGCCATGGCCGGGGCACAGGGCTGCGGCGAGGGCAAGATCGCGGGGCTGTACGACCTGGAGCGCACGCTGGGCAAGGGCCACTTTGCAGTGGTGAAGCTGGCCCGGCACGTCTTCACGGGGCAGCGCGTGGCCGTCAAGGTGATCGACAAGAGCAAGCTGGCGGGGGAGGCGGCAGGGCAGCTCCTGCAGGAGGTGCGCTGCATGAAGCTGGTGCAGCACCCCAACGTGGTGCGCCTCTACGAGGTCATCGACACCCACGCCAAGCTCTACCTCATCCTGGAGCTGGGCGACGGTGGGGACATGTTTGACCACATCATGCGGCACGAGGGCGGCCTGGCTGAGCCACGGGCCAAGCACTACTTTGCCCAGATCGTCCACGCCATCTCCTATTGCCACAAGCTCCACGTAGTGCACCGTGACCTCAAGCCCGAGAACGTGGTGTTCTTCCAGGAGCAAGGGGTGGTCAAACTCACCGACTTTGGCTTCAGCAACCGCTTCCAGCCTGGCAAGATGCTCACCACCAGCTGTGGCTCCCTAGCCTACTCGGCACCAGAGATCCTGCTCGGGGACGAGTACGATGCCCCGGCTGTTGGTAAGGGCTGTGGGGTGCCCTGGGGACCTGCCTCCCTCCTGTCCCTTGCCTGGAGCATGGTCCTGCCAGCTGGGTACCACCTCCCACTTGGCCCCTTACACTAGGAGCACTCAGCAGCACTGCTGTCCCTGCAAGGAGCAAGCCTGTCCCTTGGGTGTTTGGCTGCCCAGCCTTCCCCTGGCACAGCAGGGTCCTCCGTGTAGGGACCATCCCAGCATCCACAGAGATCACATAAAGCGATGGTTGCCAGAGAGGGAAAGAAGCCCAGGCAGGCTGTGAGCCTGGCGTGGCAGCCGCCAGGAGAAGCAGTGTGAGGATACAGCTGCCAGCAATCTGGCGCTGGTGGTTATTTGGCGGGGTGAGGCCGGAAGGAAATCTGCTCTGGATGCTGCTGTTTGGGTGGAGGAGCTCTGAAAGTTTCCTTTGCTCCATCCCCACCCTGAAAACCACTTCCTTCCCACTGCTCCCAGTGCTCTTCCTCCCCTGGCCGGGGTGCAGGGGTCTGGGGAGACTGTCCCCGGGCACAGGAAGCTGGGCTGGGGGCTCCAAGAGGCTCAGCTGTGACAGAGGGGATGTGGGAGGGAAGCAGGATCCGAGCTGGCTGGCTGGCTGGAATTAGGGCAGGAGGATTTAGCGAAGCAAAACACAAGCCCTTAAAGGCAAAAGCCCAGTGTTGGCTCAGGGAAAGGCGGATCCCAAGCTGAGAACAGGGATAGCTTATGGAGGCGGTAGAAAAATAAGCTGGTGGCGCTGCAAAGGGAAATGAAGGGAGAAAACCAACGCAGATGAGAAATTTCCAAACACTTGACTTAAGCAGCTGAAGGTATTAACAGAGCGCCCCAGGGCGTGCTCAGCATCCTAAACCCGAACATCTGCAGGAATTTGTGTTCTGAGCGGGAGGAGCCAGTGAAGATGCTTCTGGCTCTATCCCTGTCCCCAGGACAGGGCAGCAGTCCTGTTCCAGCTGGTCTCTATGCAGCTGGAGAGCCCAGATTGGTGCAATGTCCCTCTCTGATTGCTGTAGTGTCTCCTAAAGCACAGCCCAGTGCCAGGATGGTTGTGGTGGGGTGTGGGAATCAGGAAGGTGAGGAATGACATGAAACAGTGCCGTGGGTGGGTGTGTAATCGGGGGGAGTGGGGAGGGGGCCAGAGCTCAGGGCTGGCTTTCCTGTCCCTGCCTGGAGAAGGTGATAACACCTCAACTGCTTTGGTAAAGTCCCTTGAGACCAGGTTGGATGTGGGGACAGGAAGGTCCTTCTCTGCCTTGGTGGGAATATGGTCCCACTGTCCATGGGACAAGACCTGGGAGCTGTTACCTCCAAGGAATATCCCAGTGAGCACTGGTCTCTGCTAGAGCAGTACTGGGGGCTAGTGGGGCAGCCCCTCCCAGGGTGTCTGGGGTGGAGAATCTCATGAGCCATGGTGAGGTGAGTGCAACCTGAACTGCAGCTGCTGCTTCTTGCAGACATCTGGAGCCTGGGAGTCATCCTCTACATGCTGGTGTGCGGCCACCCCCCCTTCCAGGAGGCCAACGACAGCGAGACCCTCACCATGATCATGGACTGCCGCTACACCATCCCCCCGCACGTCTCGGCACAGTGCGCTGAGTGAGCACCACCCCCTCACTGTACCCCCAGACCCCAACTGGCTGCCCCCTGGGTGCCCCAGCCCTGGCAGATGCCTGGGAGCTGAGGTGGGAAGAGAGGGCAAAGCTGCTTACTTTGGGGTTCACATAGTGCTGCAGGGTTGCAATGCCACTCCTTTCCCCCAGTCTCATCTCCAGGATGCTGCAGCGGGACCCGAAGCAACGAGCGTCCCTGGAGCAGATCGAGGGCCACACGTGGCTGCAGGGGGTGGACCCGTCCCCTGCCAGCCGCTCCCTGCTGCCCCTCACCTCCCACAAGCGCGTGTCTGAGGAGGAGCACGAGATCATCCTCCAGGCCATGATGTGTGGGAACATTGCGGATCGGGACACCATCCAGGAGTGAGTGATGGGATGCAGGGATGGGAGCCCCAGTGAAGGGCTCTGGGGGTCCCTCCAAGCATGTCCCTTGTGTGCTGATGCAATTCCCTCGGTCCCACACAGGGCGCTGGAAGCCGACCGTTACAACCACATCACAGCCACGTATTTCCTGCTGGCAGAGAGGATGCTGCGGGAGAAGCAGGAGAAGCAGGGCCACCGCCTCAGTCTCGTTTACAACCTGGCCAAGGAGGTACAGAGCAGGTGAGCACCCCTGCTGCCCCCTGTTCCGTGTACCCCTCCCCATCATCCTGGGTCCCCAGTGCAGGGTCCTGGCTGGCCCTCTGTCCTTTTCCTTGGCACAGCCCTGTGGTGCCCAGCTGAGTGACGACACCTCTCTTCCCTT